TCTCTGTCCCAAAAATAAATAAACGTTAAAAAAAAAAAAATTGTTTTTGAGCGATGTTTACAAAAACAAGGTAATAGCATTCTAGTGCAATTGTAATACCAAATAGTGGTATATCACACAGCAGCTCATGTGCTCCTATCCCAGTTTTCCTAATTTGCTGTTTGGCCCTGAACTAGTCATTTCACCTCTCCGAGCCTCAGTGTCCACATCAATAAAATGGGTATGCATCAACAGCCCCTACCTCATAGCGTTGTTAAGAAGATAAAGTGCTTTGGGGCGCCTGGGTGGCGCAGTCGGTTCAGCGTCCGACTTCAGCCAGGTCACGATCTCGCGGTCCGTGAGTTCGAGCCCCGCGTCGGGCTCTGGGCTGACGGCTCAGAGCCTGGAGCCTGTTTCCGATTCTGTGTCTCCCTCTCTCTCTGCCCCTCCCCCGTTCATGCTCTGTCTCTCTCTGTCCCAAAAATAAATAAACGTTGAAAAAAAAAATTAAAAAAAAAAAAAAGAAGATAAAGTGCTTAAAAAAAAAAAAAAAAAAAAGACGACGACGACAAAGTGCTTACCAGCACATGGTAAGCAGGCCAGATACCATGATGCCGACAGGGAAGCTGCACAAACAGGCAGTATGGTGAGCTCTCAGGGTTTATACACTGGCTACGTCAATTACCAGAGGTGTGATCTTGGGCCAGTTACCTTACCTCTCTAGGCATCATGGGAATATTAAATCAAAAGTACCTACAACACATAATACATATTCAATGAATGTGATAAAACTTGCACTATGTAAGAAATATACACCAAAAGCAGGAGCGTCACCTTCTGCCTTTGGTGTAGAAACATGTTAGCTATGATTATTAATAAAATAACGATTATTCTAATTAAAGAGCAATGGAGAGAGAAGCAGTGAATACGGGGGGAAATGGCTGGGCATCGACTCTCTCACTGTGTGAGATTGGAGGAGTTTGTTAACTGCCCCGAGCCTCAGTTTCCCCATCTGGAAACATGTAGCTAATGCCCATCTTTTAGGGTTATTGTTAACACTAAAGCAAACGCAAATTTAACATACATTAAGTAATTTACTTTGTGCCTTACGCTGTGCTAGGCGCATTATTTTCCACCATCATCTCACGTAATTCTTAGAACAACCCCTATTAAATTGGAACTACTGGGGTGCCTGGGTGGCTCAGTCGGTTGAGCATCCGACTTCAACCCAGGTCATGATCTCCTGGTCTGTGAGTTCGAGCCCCGTGTCGGGCTCTGTGCTGACAGCTCAGAGCCTGGAGCCTGCTTCCGATTCTGTGTCTCCCCCTCTCTCTGCCCCTCCACCACTCATGCTCTGTCTGTCTCTCTCAAAAACTAAACATTAAAAAAATACATTTAATTAGAACTACTATCCCCTTTTTACAGACGAGGAATCTTCAGCTAAAAAATATTCCAAGGCTACTCAGCTAGGAAGTGGACAGAGGCAAGATTTAAACCCAGGACTCACCAACTGCAAAAGATGTCAGCAAATGTAGTTCATCTTCTCTTTCCTGACACGGTGGGTCTCAGTTTACTCATATATAAAATGGGCGTGAAGGATAATGTCCATTAAGAACCTCTGTAGCTTACCTCTATTAAACTCCACCGCTAAGCGTGGTGTGTTAAGACTGGCCAAGCCCTTCCTATCCCAACCTCTCAGACTCAACTTACCAGTTTGGGGAAGCTTCCTGGGCTGGATTCCTCTGGCTGGTCCCAGCTGGAGTTGTCTGTGCCCTGGTGCTGGGCATGGGGCATTGGGCCCCTCCTCAACCTCCTAGCACACTTGGATCTTCTCTGCCCCACGGATGGGCCTGAGCGAGCTTTGCTGGCTGCAGGCTCCAGGGAGCTGGCGGGGGCGTCGGCGGGAGCAGGGAGTCCTCGCCCCAGCCTCCCTCTGGACTCTGGCTGAGCCTTGACATCTAGCTCCTCCTGGTTGTGCGAGACAGCAGGCCCGTCATCACAGCCGGCCCCGACTATGTGCTCAGCTTCTTGCCACTCTGTGAGAGCCTTTCCAGGCACTTCCAGGCATAGCACAGAGCTCTGTGGAGGATCCCGGGCAGCTGGCCCGAGGGACAATCCTCCGTCCAGCAGTGGGACCCCGACAGGGTCGGAGGGGCCCACTGGCTGGGCCCCATTCCCCGCAGTGGGCAAATGTTCAAACTTCTCAGTCCCCGAGACACATCCCACACAACTGCCACCTGGATCTCCAGGCCCAGACCCAGTGTCCTTGGGAGAGAGAGGACTGCAAAGGTCTCCCAGGGACTCCCAGTCAGCACCTGGTGGGAGGCCTCCCACACACTGGGGGTTGTCCCCACCAGGGGACCACAAGAAGCCCCCCTCCCCACCCTCTGAGTGGGCCTCCCACTTCCTGTTTTCCTTTCTTGCCCCCACAGGGGCTGGGCCTGGTGAGGACGGCAGGCTCCTTTTGGGGGGCTCCTCTTTGCTGAGGGTGGGGTTTCTCTCATCACGCCCTGGAGAACTCCCACCTCCTCTGGCCTCTCCTGGCCGGGGGCAGCTTGTCTCCTCCAGCCCCGCCAGCCTCTCCCTGCCAACCAAAGCTCTCTCTGGGAGACCCACAGACGTGCCATGAGGATTCCCGGGCCGACTTTCAGCTAAGATGTCGTGCAGAGAAACCTGGAGCCTCTTGGAGGCCCGAGTCCTCCCCTGAGCAGGCACTATGGGCAGCTGGAAGTGGAGCCCAGAGACAGGCACCAAACCCTGGCTTTGTCTCATGGCTCGCAGCTCCAGGACCATCAAGTGGGCCTCCGCCTCCAGGCTGGCCCCAGGAGCACCCCCAGCCTGGGAGCCGGCACCTCGATGGGTTCTTCCCCTCAGGACCCTTTTCCTGCTGCCAGCCCAGACATGGGCCCCAGAGTTCACCCCTGGCACGCGTGGCCTGGGGCCTGACATGGAGCTGGCTTCTTCCACATCCTCCTGGAAAAGCCCACTGCTGTTGAGACTGAGGGCAGGGTCCTCTGTGCTGGAGCCCTCTGCAGCCCCCTCCTGAGACATGTCTGTCCACCTACAGGGGCCCAAAGCAGAACGCAGACCCTGTGAAGAGACAGAGGAGACCCCATCATGCAGTGTCTGGCCGCCAGCCCATTCAGGACACCAGGCCAGGGGGAACCTGGGGGACAGCCTCCCCTCCAGGTGGAGGCCCCGGGGGCCCTGCCGACTCTGAGGCCTGGCGGCCACAGGGAGACAGCTCCCAGCGATATAAGCACTCCAGCAGGGCCTGGAGCCCCAGGTGAGGGAGGGGAGGCCCGCCATCAAACCGGGTTGAGCGACAGCGACGCTCGCTGCAGGGCTTCCCATCTCCGAGAGTTCACGCTTTTGCTTAACGGGGCTGGAGTGATAAAAGTGCCATTTCTTAATCACCTACTACGTGCCTAATTTCATTTCATGCCGGCAGCCACAGGTGAGGAAACTGAGACACAGGGACGTTTAGCGACTCACCAAAGGTCAGGACACGCAGATAGGGGAGGAAGAGCGGGGCTTCTCCCCCCCCCCCCCCCCCCCCCCCCCCCCCCCCCCCCCCACCCAAAGCCCAGCTCTAAACCACTGAGCAATGAGCAGTGAGTGGGAATAACTCCCTTCCCACCGATCCCGTTCCAGTAGATACGACTTCCAGATTCCCAGGCCTGACCTGGACGGTCCCCCACGGCCCAACGCGTCCAGAAGCTTTCACCAGGGCTCCGCGAGCTTCCCCCTCCCCGGCTTCCACCCCCGGACTGGGCAGGAGCTGGGGTCACGTGAGGCGGGGAGCCCCGGGTGAGGGAGGGAGGCGGGGCCTCTCAAGACGCGACGTGGACGGCACCCCAGGCGTGCTGGCGTCCTGGCACCGGCAGGGGGCGCGCTCTCCCTCTCGAGGGCTTCCCGGCGGAGGCGCCAATCCCTTGGGCTCCTGGGCGGGGACGGGTGGGCGCCTGAACCAGAGATCAGAATCGAAGGACCTTGAATCTGACAGTTTAAACTTGGTCCTAGGGCCATGGGGAGTTACCGAAAGTTCCTGAAGCCTGAGGGAAGTCAGAGTCACATTCCTGCCTAATTCTTTGTTATTTTAATCATCTCAAATGTAAAAATATAATTCATATAGGTGAAAAAGCACCTCCAAGCCCAACTGAAAGGTTAGAAATAAAAAGCTTAAACGTCCTCTCACATCCCGACTCTTGGGAGCCACCTTCCTTTCTTGTACTATATTTGTTGTTGTTTTAGTTTTTTATTTATGCGACTTTCGTAACCGTGAATAATATTCTCCTACTCTGTTGCTAGGTTTATTCATGTTAATGGTATCTATTGGACTGGGGCACCTGGGTGGCTCAGTTGGCTGAGCGTCCAACCTCAGCCCTGGTCATGATCTCCTGGGTCACAAGTTCGAGCCCAGCGTTGGGCTCTGTGCTGATAGCTCAGAGACTGAAGCCTGCTTCTGATTCTGTCTCCCTCTGTCCCTCCCCTGCTCACGCTCTCTTTCTCTCTCAAAAATAAGTTTTAAAAAACATTCAAAAAAAAAAAAGTATCTATTCACTCCCTGCTGTGGTGATTGTATTACCTGTGTTCCTTTCTCCCCCCGCCCCGCCAGTTTTTCTTTTTTGTATTTATTTTGTTATTGTTTCTATCGAACGCTATCACGGCTTTGAATAATAGTCTTAAATGTCCATCTCTCCCTTAGTTTGCATCGCTTGACTCTCTCTGTGAAATGAATAGCGCCCCCTCCCGGCTGCTGCCCTTCCCCCAGCGTCTCACCTTTTACTTTTGCTTTAAGGTTTGTAGTACGTCCGCCCCAGCCTGTAAAGATAATTCAGTTTGCCATACTTTGCCTGTAGATTGATTCTTAACATTAAAACCATATGACATTTATGACATTACAGCTCTGTAAATATTTTCACTGAGGACCTAGGGATTTGATAGACATCACCGAGAGGGAAATGGAATCGGCCAGCCCTAAACCGGCACCACGTGAGGCCAGGAGAAGCTTTCGGGTCAGTGGAATACTCCAGTGCAGTTAGAGTGAGCGCGTTAGGTCTCTATATCAACACGGCTGTATCTCAGACACATAATGTTGAATTTAAAAATCAAGATAATGTTAATAGGAAGGAAACTGAGTGCCAGGCGTATGAGAACTCTCTGTACTAATCTTCAATTTTTTTTTCTATACATCTAAAACTCATAAAAAATAAGGTCTACTATTTTTAGACCTTAAATAAGGGACACCTGGGTGGCTCAGGCTAGATTGCACGTGGGACTTCGGCTCAGGTCATGATCTCACTGTTCATGAGTTCAAGCCCTGCATCGGGCTCTGTGCTGACAGCTCAGAGCCTGGAGCCTGCTTCAGATTCTGTGTCTTCCTCTCTCTCTGCCCCTCCCCCGTTCGTGCTCTGTCTCTCAAAAATGAATGAACATTAAAATTGAAAAAAAATTAAAATGTCAAAAATAAGGTCTACTACAAAAAAGAAAAGAAAAGACAAAAAGAATGTGTCGTGTGATCCATACCGAAAACTGTCATGATCTGGCTGTTAGAGTCACAGACGATGTAGGAGTTGAGACTGGATGTCACTAATTACATCCGACTACCACTCAAAAAGAAATGATTTTTAAGTGAAAAGACCTCCCACTATGGAATGCTCCAGTCCTGATGGTAGAGACTTGACCTTGAAACAATGTAAAGTGTCGATCTAATGGTGTGAGCTTTCCTTGCCTCTTTCTTTACTATGTCAGCTTTTACCTCATGTTTTTCAAATCCACGGTGATCCATAATAACTTGAAACTATAGAAATCAGTTTTCAGGGCAGAAAACAGAAACCACTCTTGGTATCTGAAGCATAAGGAGGCGTTGGGTGTTTACCAGGTGGCTGGAGGGGTGGCAGGAGTGCACTCTGGGCTGGGCTCAGGGACACCACCACTAGAGCTGGCTAAAAATACAGCACGGTGGTAGCGAGCCAAGACTGGGACAGAGCACGGCAGCTGCTGCCACGGCCCCCCAACATTCGCAACACTAGAGGCCAGACATGGACACAGAAAAACCCAGCGGCTCTCCCACTGAGCTTGTGAGCAGTAATGACCCAAGGAAGACGACAGTGGCCTCTGCCTGTCATCTGCCTTCCGGATCTTGCACGGTGGCAACCAGTGCTGGAAACTAATCCACACTTGGAGCACTTAGCTGTAAAGGATTCTGGGAAATAATTGTCAGCTTTCCTTCCTCTGCAGGATAAGAAGGCACACCGGCAGGTGGGAACAGATGCAGAGTGAATCAGTCCACTTTGTCCTCCACTGTATTTTTAATTATTTTTCACCTACTTGATCTGCTTCTAGTAAGCACCTGCTTGATCTGCTTCTAAGCGTGTGTTTTTAAATCTCACGCTATTATCGTGGACTTGTAGATTTCTCCTCCACTTCAGTGAGTTCCTGCTTTATATATCGCAAACGCTTAATTAGGTATGTACACGTTCATTTATTTTTACATCTTTTTGGTAGATTAGGATTTTCATCAGTGCCAAATGTTCTTTCTTGTGATCGGTGTTCTGTTGCTTTAATTCGTTTATTAGTTCGTTCTTCTATTAGAAGTAATAAATTCTTTATTATCATAATTATTCATTTACTATTTGCTTATATTTATTAGTACCTTGCCTCTTTGTGGTCACTATTTGCTTGGTATAATCTTTCTATCCTTTTCTTTTTCTTTTTTTAATTTTTTTGAATTTGCATCCAAGTTAGTTAGCATATAGTGCAATAATGATTTCAGGAGTAGCATAACACCCAGTGTTCGTCCCAACAAGTGTCCTCCCTAATGCCTGTTGCCCATTTAGCCCATCCCCCCACCCACCCAACACCCCTCTGGCAACCCTCAGTTTGTTCTCTGTATTTAAGAGTCTCTTATGTTTTGTCCCCTTCCGTTTTTATATTATTTTTGCTTCCCTTCCCTTATGTTCATCTGTCTTGCATCTTAAATTCTCTATCCTTTTATTTTCAACCTGTATGCGCAGTTTAGCTTTTCACCACACCTCTTGTGCATGACATAGCTAGTCTTTAGAATTCCAATCAGAGCGTCTCTGTCTTTCATCGATGTGTTTAATCTAATCATATTCTTGGGATTACTAATATAGTTGGTCTTATTTCTGCCGCTGCTTTCTACACTTATTACAAATTCTCTGCTTCCTTTGTGTTCCTCTTCGTCTTATTTAGGATTTTACTTTATTGATCTTTAACGTTTATTTATTTATTTATTTATTTATTTTTTTTTAATTTTTTTTTTTTTTTTCAAGGTTTATTTATTTTTGGGACAGAGAGAGACACGGAGCATGAACGGGGGAGGGGCAGAGAGAGAGGGAGACACAGAATCGGAAACAGGCTCCAGGCTCTGAGCCATCAGCCCAGAGCCCGATGCGGGGCTCGAACTCACGGACCGCGAGATCGTGACCTGGCCGAAGTCGGAGGCTTAACCGACTGCGCCACCGAGGCGCCCCTAACGTTTATTTATTTTTGAGAAAGAGAGAGACAGAGTGTGAGCAGGGGAGGGGCAGAGAGAGAGGAAGACAGAATCGGAAGCAGGCTCCAGGCTCTGAGCTGTCAGCACAGAGCCTGATGCGGGGCTCGAACCCACAGACCACGAGATCATGACCTGAGCCAAAGTCGGACACTTAACTGACTGAGCCACCCCAGGCGCCCTAGGATTTATCAAATCACATTTACCCCCTTTATTTTCCTCAAAAGAAAAAAAAAAAACGCCCTATTTCTAATCTTCAACAGTGACCCTTAAACTTATAACGTGCATACCTTAGTTTCTTCCAGTCCAGTTTGCTAGGCCTCTGCCAGAGCCCTGCCGGGACACCCCTAGATGTGGCTGCACCTCTAAGACCTGGTTGCTGCTGAAGTTACTAGATTTCCTTTGCCCCTGGGCTCCCAGCAGCTCAGGCCACGTCCAGGCCATGTCCTCATTCCCATCCTGCCGGGTTGTGGACAGACAGCCAGGAAAGGAGCCGAGCTGTGGCTACTGCAGGCAAGTACGCTTGTGTTTA